GTTCTGCTTCATCATTTGTAAATGTCTCCTCTGCTTCTGCAACTTCCTCTGTTTCGGATTTCTTGTTTGCTGCAGGAGGTTCCTCTCTCTCTGTTTCTTCGAACGATAATGGCGTTGGCTCTGGCATTTCAATTGCCTCAGTTGTTATTATCGGATCAGGAACCTCCACTAATTCGACCGTCGAATTTTCAAGTTCCGTAGAAAGATTAAGTTCCGGTTCACTTTCGTCTTTGTCAGTGGCGAAATCTTTATTTTCCCCAATTTGCTGTATCTCTGTTCCCTCTTCAACTTCTTGCTCTGTTTCTTCCTCAATCTTTTTCTCTTCAAATTTTTCTGCTACCAGTTCTTCCTCCTCTGTTTCAGGAAACTCTACAGACGGCTCTTCAATTTTCTCCATGGGATCGTTTTCTTCTGTGCTTTCATTCACTCTCTCACAAATTTCTTCTCTCGATGTCTCTTCTTTTTTCAGGTCGTTGGCACTTTCTTCTGAAGTCAGGCTTGTTTCCTCCATGTTTTCGAGTTTGGGATCCACAGAGATCCTCTGTATTTCTCCTGTTTTACTCTCTATTTCGACTTCTCCTGTATCCTGCAACTCTTCTTCATTGCTTTCTTCCTCAATCTTCAACCCGGAAATTCCCTTCACCTTCTTGGGCATGGTGATGTTCATAGTTGATTCTTCTTCATTAAACTTGGCCTTGATTCTGTCCAAATTCACCATGCAGGGAATCCGAAAAACCTTCCTAAATGCCCTCAACTCCACCTCCTTCTTCCTCATAATCCAATTTATTAGTACCATCTCCTGAACCGGTTTCTTCCCGCTGATTACAATCTGATTCCCATCTCTGTTTATCTCTATCTCGATGTTCTCCTTTCTGAAACCTGCATTTTAGGAAAACACAAACAACTCAACACAACTCAAATAAAATGCTGAGAAAAGGTGAAAACAAATGAAATTGAACGACCTCTGAGATGTATAATGAGGATGAACATGGACTCTGTTTCTTTAGACCAAAATAAAACACCAGACGGGTTTTTTGCAATCCGAAAATCGGTACTAGAAGTTAAATCATCTCTCGTACGGGTGATCTTGAGTCCCAATTCCAGCTCCATATCTTATTTCTTGTTCTTTCTCGTTCTTCTTCCCTTTTTTTCAAAAATCAAAAGTGATAAATTTAATTGAGTGAGAAACTGGTGAAACATTATATTAAGCTTAAGTGTAAAGCATATATTCATTGCTTCCTTGTATGGTTAAAACCAGTTAAAAGTTTCCTCCTTTCTATTCTTTGGATGTGGCGGGAAGTAAGAGCACTTTGAAAAAATGTGAAATTGCACCTGGGATATACAGCAAGATTTTATACCTTCAAACTTCTTCCTTGGTTGCATTATGCTAGAAATAAATTGCAGGTGCCGGAAGAGGGTATTGAAGTAATGGAAGATGGGAGTTGATGCTGGAAACTGGACTTTATGGGGAAGAAGGAGGTGGAGTTGAGGGCATTTAGAGAGATTGATTCAAGATTAATTACATGGTTTTTTATTTGAACAAAATCAAGGCCAAGTTTAATGAAGAAGAATTAAGATTGAAAATCCACCATTGTCTGAGAAAATGAAATGGATGTCGCAAGATGAAGAAGAAGAAGACGAAGAAGAAGAGTTAATGGCCGCCGAAGGTGATCTTAGCTTGGCGGCCAGGCAAACTTGTTCATGCTTAATTATCTTATAATCTAATCAAGTGGGGAGCACTAATGCACCTTTTGGAAAAAAAAAAAAAAAAATCAACGTGAAAATTCCAAGAACCCCATTCTTTTCCAATCCAAAGATATAACAATATTTTTTTTGAGTCATTCTATTAGTTTACCAATAATTTTGGATCAGGATTTCTATTTTTAACTCATATTTTACTGTAGTTAATTTATATATATATATATCAATTATAACACAATAGAAATAATTTTTAATATATGAGGATAAGATCACAATTCAATTCAATTCCAATTCAGGATCTCTTACAAAAAAGACTATATATATATATATATATAACAATCATTTAATCATAATTAAATATTAAAACAATAAAGAGTTGATGTGTACAAATAGGACCTCTTCTCTGAATAGAGTCTCCATGCTAAAAAGAAACCTGCTTGGTTTATCACTTTTAGGAATGACATCAGTGATTTTCAGCACCTTAAATTCCTTCTCAGTAATTTTCTTTTAAAAGAAAAAGAATAAAAAGAGAAGGGTATGTCGTACCTGCATTGGCCCTTATTTTGTTTTCAGGTTCATGTGATTCTAAAAACAGAAAATCCATGTAATTCAGACTCTTTTACATCTTTTCTCTTTTTCTTTTGTTATGATAAGAAAGGGAAAAGATATTCTTGTTTTGATACCCTGCAAACCCTTTTCTTTTGGCTGATGAGACTTGATTTGACCGAACCTTATGCTTCAAAATAACTTGGATCATCAGTTCATAGTTGTACTATTTACTTGAAGCAATAATGTCATTGTAAGTTCCACCCCATATATACATATATGCTCAAAGAATATGTCCCTTATGTTCGGAATATTTAAAGAATTGATTAAGCAATCCTTTAAAAATACCACCTGATGAATGAAAGACCACCTTGCCCACAGTACTAAGAAAAGCATATGAAACTAATTGCAACTACGGTATGCTAAAGAACTACTTTCAATACTTCATCTGTCTTCGCATGTATATACACACACACACACACACACTAATAATAAAATATTAATAGTATATATCGTTCTATATAAAATATAAATCAATATTAACCCACCTGCATTTTGCAAGAGTCGATGTTGTAATATATAAATGTCCAAGATTTCGTAAAGATTCTTTTTTCTTGATTAATTTAGTTTATATTTATAAAAAAGAAGCACATAAATGTTCAAAACTTGTATAATTTTCTTCTTCCACAAAGTTGAAACTTGTTTGTTTTTTGAATTATATATATATATGTAAATATATAGGATTTTTCTGTAATACTGGCAACTACTATTTGGAGCTAATAATTATAGTTTATTACTATTTGATTATATTATTATTACCGTTGTGATTATCATTTGTTGTTATTACCATGGTCATCAATTTTTAACAACTAATCAGTATGACATCAATGATAACCAAATTGATCCCATAATACAAACAAATATAGTTTTTTTTTTTTGGTACCTCTAACTAGAGTAAGTCTTTAAAATTTGATACTTTTTTATAATTTGATCATTGATATTTTTTTTTTAATTATAATATGGTTTCCAACATATTTTATGTCTATTTTAAAAGTCTAATTCTTTTCCATGTTCTAAAGAAAAATTAAGGATATATTTGAAGGTTTTAAAAAACATTAACATATTAAATTTTCGTTTTTTGTTATCTTTTATGTGATAAATAATAGTGTATGAATATGAATTTTTATAAGTTATTGTTGGGAAAGACTTGTTACATAAATATAGAATAAATAATTTTTTTTATAATAAATGAATTTACATTAAATTAAGTGCTCTATTTGTTATTTTTATGATTTTTACCAATCTTCAGTTTTCCGTATATGTGATTAGTATGATATTTTTACTATACTAGTCAGATTATAATATGGTTTCCAACATATTTTATGTCTATTTTAAGAGTCTAATTCTTGTCCATTTTCTAAAGAAAAATTAAGGATATATAAGGTTTTAAAAAACATTAACATGTTAAATTTTAAATTTTAAAAATAATCAAAAAATCAAAAATATTTTTAAAGAATAGTTCATTTTGTGTAAATATGAGTTTTTTTTTTCTATTTTTTAATAAGTTTTTTTTTTTTTAATTCTGCATATTTTATCAAACTATTTTGGTTTTTAATTATATATATATGGAAACTAAACATTGGAAGTAAATACAAACTATTATAGATAAAATCATAATAAAAAATTATTACAGACCAAATTATAACAAATTAGTTTATAAAATTAATTTAGTAGTTTTCTCTTAAATAAATAGTATCAACGCTTTAGCTCTATATAAATATTTATACATAATATTGCAATTGTTTCAAATCTATATTATTTTTATTTTATTAACGTATTGTGATTATATTAATATATAATTTAATCATAATTTATAAATTTAATACGAAACTAAACAATTTATGTATACCTGGGCCTAGAATTTGGTCCGGGATCAATTTTAATATTTTAAATATATAAAAAATTTATTTTTAAATTAATTTATTTTAATTTTTGTTGAATTTATGAAAAAAAAAAAGTTATGGATGAAACTGAAAATAATTTTGAGAAAAATATGTGAAAATTTAGGTTCATAGGGTATTTTTAAAAGAAAATTAGAAACTGAAGGTAATAGTACAAATAAAAAAAATTTTACCACATAAAACTATCCAGTCAGAAACTCTGACGAATCGAAGCACGCCACGTGGCAAGGCACACTCACGTTGGTACCACGCAAGATGCCACGCAGGCGATCCGCATGCCCTGCGATCGAATGGCCCAGGATCGATCCCGTACGCGTAGACTGCCCAAATTTATTCCTTCTTTAAACGCGATCAAACGGTCGAGATCAAATCGCGATTAATAGTCCAGATTCATTTTCTCCTTAAATGCGATCGGATGGTCGAGATTAAACGCGATGAACGGCTCAGATTAACGCGAGGTGGGTATAAATATTTCACATCACACTGAACTCGAACCCTAGCCGTCAGCCTTCCACCGGAGAAGAAGAACCAGTCGCCGGAGAAGGAAACCGACCACCGCCACACTGGAGCCACCTCTGACCGCCAAAAAAGGTAAAAATTCTCCTACCCATTTGGAATTCAATTTCGAGCACCCCTGTGGCCATATCGGAGCAAAATAAATGGTGAGTGAACCGAAAATCGTTGGCAAAGCCCGGCGACGCTGCCACGGGCAAAATTCGCAACCTCCTCCGATGAGCCCATTCTCGTTTTCCATTTCGTGCGATTTGTCTATCGTTGTGTTCACCGTTCTATTTTCTACAGATTGACCGAAGAAAAACTTCCAGTCGCGAAGGTGAACCAGCAGAGTTATCGTACCTGAAAAACCCCACCACTACTAGGTTTCTATTTTCTGATTTTTTTTCGGTCAACCGGGGTCTCCTAATGTGTTTTTTCCCATGGATATGTATAAAGACGGCTGAAACCAGCCAAAATCGACC